GCTTCACAAATACCAAATTTTATATATATATATTTGGGGGAAATACACAAATATGTGCTTATGTGCGTTCCAAGGAACACAGGCACCTAGAATATTGAATATAAATGTAATTGTGAAGAGGCTGACAGCGGAAATTATGCCTTGGTAGAGAAGGGCTTTGACAAATGTATTGCCTCCCCATGCTATTATCATGCAGTTAATAAATAAAACAGACACCTGGGATTTAATTTGTTTTAACAATAATGTGAAAGTGATTTTTCTGTGACAAAGAAAACATAGGGTAGAATTAATTCACGAAGCACGTGTTTTAATGCTTGCACACATCACATAGACCAGAGAAATTCTATAAGATTTTGAGCAGCAAAGGACCTACGTGCTTTAAAAGTAATTAAAACACCGTTTAAAGTGTCAGATCATCTGACTTTTGAACGAAGAGAGCACTTCAGTGTATGTTTACTTTGAAGTTCATGGGGAATTTCATTGTCTTCTGCTGGATTATTCACATGGTTGAAGGCTTTGCTGGTCTGGAAACCCAAGCCTGTGTGTTGGAAGGGRTCTGGTTGGTGCAAGTAGCACTAGGCGCTGTATTTGCGCCCTGCAAGTGAAGAAACTGTTGGATTTCTGTTTGCTGGAACTTCCCTCTGAATGAGCTGCTGAAAACCTGTAAGGTTTAGGCAGGCAGCTCTTCCTCAGCAGGATCTGGCATGCTCATGCCCAAATGGGCACCCTAAGGAATTTAAGAATTGCTGGCTGTTAGTATTTATTTATTTGTAAAGCTGTTTGTTAAGGCCAGCAGTTTTTATATCTGTAAGAAAGCAGGGTGCTAATTGGGAATCCAGACTTAYTCCACAGAGCTTAAAAATGCGAATGGATCAATCTGCCACTATTGACAAAGTTGGGATTTAGGTATATTTTTTCCTGTATACAAAGTATAGTGGGAAGAGACAAATTCAAACTATGAATAGTCATTTGCAATAAATAAAAGTAGTCATTTGACTTGGTACCTGATTGTTTTSGATTTAGATGCTCCTTGCCTTCTGATACTATCCTCATGTTACGCTTTAAAAATCACTTCTAATGTTGGAGTGGGAGAGGGAGATGCTGTGACTTGGGCACACCAGAAAACAKTTGATAGAGAAGGGAGGAAAACGGTGGTTTTAGAGGCTTTGACAGGAAGAAGTGGTAATTTTGGGGCTGACTTGTTGATTCTGTGCAACGTGAGCAGTTARCTTGCTCTGAACTAGGCTGCTGAAATGGGCAGTGCTCCCAGGGCAAGGACAGGCAGCACGTGTGAAACGGGTCAGAAACCACCACTTCTTCCCTGTGCTTTGCACGCCTCTTTCTTAGGCTCTGCAGAGTTCAGTGCCAATTTGGAAAATAGTTATAGGAACTACCTAATTGCAGTGAGGTGCTACCTTGCCTCAGACAGCAGGGAAAGCCCTTATCCCCAACTCCTAAACAAATTAACTAACAAGGCATGTAACTGGATTAAGTCGCACAATTTAAGAGCAGAGGGTGTGCTTTGAGTCCTAGCGTGGCATCTCTACCAGTTAAGGTTAAAAAGGGATCAACCACTTGCAGGCAGCCTTGGTTTCAGTACAAGGTCCCTGAGGAGGCAGCTTGGAGAGCGTGAGCCCTGTGGTCACCTAGAACCTCCTCGATGGGAGGCAGCTGCTGGAGCAACGGGTGTGGGGTGCAAAAAACGGCTTCCAACCCTCTCAGTGTTGTGGATTGATGGAGTTGGGCTCTGTGGTGGTGATGGAGTGACATGAAGATGTCACCTCCTTGACAGCTACATAATTAATCCGGGTGCTGTCTTCCTAGCTGGCGCTCACGTCAGAGCAGTTTTCCCCAAGCGAGGAGGTGCAACGTTAATCCACTAAATCAACTAAATTACTGGTTAGTTAGAGAAGCTGTGATTTGATAAGTGGGTCTCGGTGATTTCTCGGGAACTTGAAATGCTGCCCTCCCTGGCACGTGGAACTTGAGGCCTTGGTTTGCTGTGGCCTCCTTAGTGCTGGGGAGCACACATATAATTTGAAATGCTAGGTTAATTTTGCWAGGAGAGACCTGGTTATAAACTAATACACAGAAGTGTACATCAAAATGACAGCAGTATAAACATTTACAGCCAAAGTAGTTTTGCATCCTACAAAAAGGAATTTCTACTGGATTATGCTGTTTTTTTCCCCCCTCACCTTCTCTAATCGAACTGCTTTTGCTGTAGAGCCGTGACAACTTACCTTTGTAACATGAGCTGTTCACCCTGGTAATTGCTCCAACCTCTAATTTAATGAAAACCCATTAAACCGAAACAATAATTAAAATGAGACATCATCTCCGTAGGAGGCTTGCATATTAAAATCACAGAGCATTTCGCTGCAGACAGGTCTTATTCTCCAGAAACAGCGTTTGGAGCAACATGTTAAAAAAAAAAAAAAGTGATTTATAGCAAATAATCGTAATTTTGAAAGCCGTGCTGTTGAACATGGTTTCCTACTGTTTATTACTGAGTGGAACGAGTAACGCAAAGGCAAATAAAGGATTTAATGTGTTTCCACTCRTGTGGATATAGAGAAGTGGCAGAGATGTGCAGTGGGCAAGGACCTGCCTCTGAGGGAAGTGTTGCAAGGTCTTTTTCTTTTTTCCCCCTCTTTGCATAAGGAGAAATTTGCATTTTGTTCTTAGAATCGGCTTTAAAAATGGGCATTATTGGGAGAAGGCTTTTTTTGCTGCTGGTAGGTGGCAGGGGACAGGTAGGTGAAGTGCTGAGTGCTGCCCATACCAAGCTAAAAMCCACTATGTTGGGATATTTATTTCCTGAGTTCCTGTCATTGAAATCCAGGTTCTCTGTAGGGTTAAATATTTTCTTGCTCATCCAGAGCTCCTGCACAAAGGTTGTCCTGAAAGCCCGGTGASACCAAGAGCTTCAAAATGTTGGAAGCTTTCCCTAAATTGTGGCTGCTTTTCCTACCAAAGTAGGGAAGGAAAAGCACAAAATATTCAGGCAAGCTGGCAGGATGACAAAACATATTGCCTGTTTCAAAAAACATGAGTTCATTTAGGACTAAATTGTACTATTTTTTCCCCCTCTCCTGGAAGTGTGTATTAGAGGCATGATTTCCCAGCTGGCTTGGGATTGAGCTCCTAAGAACTGCTGCATGCTTTGCACAGCTTCCAATCTTGGCCAGCGTGGTTGTGTGCTTCCCTTGGTATCATGGGCCTTTGACACTGCTTATAATATTGAGAAAACTTTGCCTATTCCAACAGATTTTTCCCCTTCTCTCAACTCATTTTGTTTTCTGTCACAGTAAGGGACCGTGTGTTTCACCGTGTCTTTTCATTTTCAAAAGGATATTCTGTGGCTTTTGATAGGGAAGAGGTCACTATGATGTGAGTGGTGCAGCATTTAGTGTGGAGAAACAGCATGAGCAAACATTCAAAAGAAAGGCCAAAAAAAAAAAAATCCCCAAATGGCATTTGCTGTCAGCTGAAACAGCTTCAATTCATTGGATTTCAACAAAAAAGAGTTGTGCAAAACGACTGTTAGAGCTTGTTTGGGGGTGAGTAGCTAGTGGGGAGTGAGCACGGCTGGGAGCATCGTCCTGAGCAGCTTCCTCATGGAGAGGGTTTGGGCCTGGTGGTGCTTTCCAATAATCGCTGTGGGCCTTGCTTGACTCCTTTTATTTTGGAGATGTTCTGGTATGCTTAAAGCAACGAGCTCGGGAGCTGCTATTGCACATTAAAAAAATAAAATCCTGCAGGGAGGGCATACGACAGTCACAGCTATCACGGTTGTTCTTTTGCTGAGGTTGTGTTATTGCTCGCGTGCGGAAGCTGCGGATGGCTGTATAAACCCATATCCTTCTACACTATGTGGGAAATACGATGTTTCATTACCAGCAGACGGTTATTTTTATGGAGAATGTAAAGAAAATCTCCCCCTCGAGGCACCTGTGCTGAGGGGGTATTTATTTTTGAAAGTCTGAGGATCAACCTGGTGTTTTCTTCTGATCTGATTGTGGTTAAGGAGCCCAGTGTTTCTGTGTGAGGTTTGGTGCCTGTGTGGGGGGACAGATAAGCTAAAATCTTCAGAGCAGGATGTCAAAAAACCCCTCCTGGTATGTGGGACAAATCTGTGCTGCTTTGGCTGATTCAAGTTTTGAAAACCTGGAAGGAGGCAGCATTGTGGCCAGTAAGCAGGTTTGCGAGGTGGGCCWGGTGAAGATTATGGTTTGGATAATAAAGTGGTAATAATGATCCAAGCCAGACCAGCTGTGATCTGAAATGCTGTGATTTCTCCCCCTTGCYCCTTAATCCCCTCCATAGGGATGGTTTATTGTGGATGAAAGCCATGGGGTGAAGATGAAGGCATTAGGTGAGGAGRTAGGAGATGGAATGAAAAGTGCTACTGTGGGACACGGGCAGGATGAGCAAGGCTRAAATATTTTTGTCTCCTTGGTCATGCAGGAGTTTTAATAAATATTGCATGAGCTGTCATACCTTGCTTGTTTAAACTGAGAAATCCCAGAAATGGTGGCTCACCAGTGTGCCTTGTATTTATTTTGAGGACAGAAGCCCAGCTGTATAGCATTATTAGCCATAATACCTTGCTCAGTGCAAAGACAGGTTTCCTCTGGGGGAACGATGGRGCTGATAGAGCTGAAATAGGAGCTTGGTGAGTTGGGTAAGTCGGTGCCCGAGACCCTCCTGAAATTGGGAGCCAATTTCTCTGGCTGTTACAGGTCTTAGTGGCAGGGACTCGAGCAGCAACTGCTTTCAGGCTAGTTGGGAAGTCTCTTGGCGGATCGGTAGCCGTGGGCTTGTCAAGGGGACAAGCACCGGCCCGTGGGCTGAGGAGAGAGGGCAGTGGTGGTGCAGGGGGGCAGCTTCCCCGACACGCAAAACACCAACTGTGAAATGAAAAGCGCGGTCTGAGTTTTTCCAGCTTGGCATTTTCACTAAACTGTTGTTTCCTTGCTCTTAAATGGAATTCTTAGATGTGGAAAGAGAAATCCATGCYGCCCCACACGTGACGGAGAAGCTAATCCAGCTCTTCCGGAATAAAAGCGAGTTCACGTTTCTGGCCACCCTGCAGCAGAAGGCGGCGACGTCGGGAGTTATCCTGTCGATCCGGGAGCTGGAGCACAGGTAAGTGCAGCTTGATGCTTCATGGGTGTTAAGCTTAGTCTCCTGTTTCCTGTTAAACTCTACCTCATTTTGCTTTRAAATAATCGGTGTCTTTTTTTGATGTCGGTCATTTAAATGAAGTCTTAAGAACAGCTGCTGTGCAGTGGTGCCTATGTTGGAATACAATCTATGCTTACTTTATTTTTGATTTTTTGTTAGCAGCATAAGGTGAGGGAAGAAAAGAATCTTGTCATTAGATATTAGTGTCAGATCTTAATGCCCATCTTCAAAAAGAGTTCCTGGTATTACAGATCGTAGTAATTCTGTGGATGTTCTGATGTTTCAAGGGTTGTTGGGTCAAGTGGTCTCCTGCAATCTTGGATTGCTTGGGACATGCTTCCCCTTCCATGATTTCTTAGGCCCTGAAGGRCTATTAGAGCCTGTTTACTTCCTGCTGTTATTCAAATAATAGGATGTTCTTTAGTTGCTACTCCATCAAGTGAAACAGCAGGTCTGCACCGTGCTGCTTAGGAGAAAAGTTTCTGATGTGCCTTGAATTTGGAATTTAGTTTTGTTAATTTGTGACCTATGTCACAACTGGTAGCCCTATTTCTTACCCCTGAGAAAATACGTGAAGGAAGAAGGGGCTTTATTTGTGCAGAGRTTTGCTTTTTGCCCATGCATCAAGGGCCTGGGTTACACATGGTTGTATTAGTATGTATTTTTAATACATATATAGTTTAATACATATATAGTTGTAGGCTTGGCTGCTGATCTCACTTAAATCTATGGAATTCAATGTAATAACCAACATGTTTAATCTGTGTTCCTTAAGGCAGCTCAAATAGGCATGTCCAGGGCTGCTAATGACTGCTCTTACCTTTAGCATTTGAATGTCAGGTGGATTACTGCAATTTGCTGGACTTGCTGCATGTCACTTAAAAGCCGAGGCCGGGTTTCTCACCCCAGTGTCTTAGGCTGTTGCCTAGACCCGGCTGAGGATGGTGCTTTCAAGCCCTTAGTTCTGGGAGGACAGAAGTTAAGTGGCTGAAAATGGGGAAAATAGCTGTAACCGTGATAAAGAGCAGAGAGCGAAGATTTGGGGCATAAAGGTTTGTATAATGCACTGCTGAAGGGTTGCTTGGTCACATTATGATCAATATAATAACAGCACTTTTAGCTTTTTTAATATTGCTCTACCTGWGCAGGTCACTTGGTTCTTTAGCCTCACGTGTGAGCTGAGGGAATTGCAGGCCCGTGCCTTGTTCGTGTTTTATTTCTCATATTTCTATGAGTTTATTTCCCATTAGTGGCAGGGAACTCTGAAACCAAGATGTGTAGGATGTTTTAAAAATAGGCATGTAAATGGACACTGTGTTTTGAATAACCAAACATAACAAAAGACGCTGAATGCAATAAGTCAGTCATTCAAATTATGCCGTTACATTACACTAAATGGCTTTTTCACAAAGTTTAGAAATCAGTTGATTTATATCATTTGCTGGGTAGGTTTTGTAGCATGTAGAAGATGATAAGGGCATCTTTTGGTGTTAAATCTTGGTGAATCAGTTTCATGAKAAAAGTTTTGTTTTCATGATCCAAATATATTAATCTGCAACTTAAATGATAATCCCATACCAGATGGACAAACATGTTACTTGAGGGTACGGATGGGTAGGAACTAATTTCTTTGGAGAATAATGTGAGTCCTCTTGTTTTTAGGAGAAAGCTTTYGAGTTGTCTTCTCACAACCTTTAGCTATTCAGACCTCTAAGAGACTTGCAAAAGTCCACYGAGATGCTCGAAATCCCACTTTGTTTCAGCAGAGATATTAATACAGCTTAATTTGGAGGGCTCTACTTGCCCTGCACGTGTTCAGGTTTTGCATGGTCCAGAGCCTGAGAAAATAGATGGGTTAATGAGATATTGATAGCTCCCTTCTGCTGGCCAAGATCTGTGTTCTGAAATCCATCAAGCTGTCTGTCAGGGACACTCAGCTACCTGAATTTCCATTCTGTGAAATATTGGATGTCACCAGAAGAGTGAACTGTGATATTCCAGGCAGTCTGAAGCACAACGGAAAAACAGCCGACTTCCGTAGTCTTTCCTTTTCTTGTTGAGAGAGATTGACCCCAAACAAAACATGAAAGTCATAGCCTCCTATATGGTACGTTAAATCTCAGCCTGTATGATGCCCACAAGGTATGGCAATGAGTGGAAAAGGGATTTGAATGCATAGAATGTAGGGTTTTAGTGACTGGAAACGATGAGTAAGAAAATGGGAAAAGAATGGCAAGAAGAGGCTCCTGTTCCCAATCTCGTTACCAGCTTAAAACTTCCAGATAGTTTCCTGCCCCACCTTTCAGTAATGGCCCTTAAATGTTGTTGCTGCACGTTATTTCTTTTGAGGTAGCCACCATTAGACCGCTGTCCATGAATGAAACCTGTTAATCCCGGCTTATCAGGAAGGGTTGAGTTCAGAGCAAGCTTTTTTTTTGCTGTGGATGTGCTTGAACTCCCTCTGAAATCAAATGGGTAGCACCCATGTTTGGTGCTATGCATCCCTTAGGTTTTTAGTAGTTACTTGGGAAGGAAATGCAGCCTTTCCACTATATAGGTAACTCTAAACCCAACGTATTTGGCAACCAAGCTGCTGTGTGGCCAAGGCTGTGAGGTACTTGGCCTGCATCAAGTTYCCTAATCTTTCCGCAGGCAAAATTCCCATTGACTTCCTGGGATGTGGACTTGGGTATTTGCTTGCAAAATGTGCAAAGTGAACSAGTGAGCAGATGGTTCTGGCCAGGAAGTGCTTCCCATAAGAAAAAATTGACCAATTCCCTGAGATACCAGTCTGTGCAGTTGTCAAGGTGTGCGAGATCCATGTGGATCTCGGATTACTGGGATATAATATGTTTGATTAAAAATACAGAAGGGTAACAAGCTCATTAAATTAAACGCTGTCACTTAACTAATGAAAAGAAATCTATGCGAGTGGCTTCCGACCCTAATTGAAAACCTGAAAAATTGGATTTACCTCTTGTTATCTTTTAGACCATTCTCCCCAACATGTTTATACACATATTGGGTTCTGAGATGCCCATTATCAAAAAAGGAAGGAAGAAACCTCTGCAAGGGTGGCCATTAACCTTATTCCTTCAGGGTAAAGGCGATGTCTGCATTAATATTTATGCACAGAATTACTAAATTGGCAAGCTGGCCGGAGAATACAAAGATCCTGCCTTATTTCTGTCCCTCTGGAGTGATGTGGTGCTGATGTACCGCTCCGCCTGCAGTGAGATGGGAGGGGAGCTTTGATTTTTTTTTTTTTTTTTTTTTTCCAGATATTTCATATTTTTCCCCTGTCCTCTTAAGAGGTCAGCCCAGGAGCAATACGTGCGGGTCCCCCAGGAACCTTCTTCAATGTGTTGAGTGACTCTGCTAGCAGGTTGTATGACCCGCTGATACAGGCAAAGCACAGAAATGTCTCTAACTTCTGCTGAAAGCAGCTTGGTGAAAATTGTGTGCACTGATCTTTGGCTGCTTGTTAAGAGTGTGGCTTCTAGTTGAGAAGAGGGCTAGATGTTCACAGCACTTTATTCAGAGATGGTTGTTTGCTTGGTTGGACACTAGGCTATAACTGATTTTTGATTTTCTGTTGGCAGAATTTTGTTAGGCATGTAGCAGAAATTCTGTGAAATTTCTTTCCAAGAAGTTACTGAGAGCTTCTGAATTTAAAGGGAAGATCAGATCAGAGGGGAAAACTCCTTCCTCGTAAGGCACAGTGACTAAGACAGGGTAATTTGTTTTCAGATACTTCATTTTGTCTCATGAGACACACATCTCAGTGGTTTAAAAGGTTATGTGGCTCTCCTCCATTGTATTAAAATCTAGTTTTAGAGATTCTGCGCTTTGGGAGACCCTGATTTGAGATCTTGCCTTTGTGATGATGGAGGGAGGCACTGCTGCCAACTCTGCCTTTGCCAAGAGTGCTCTTGGGGCTCTCTAGTCTGACTGGCAGCGCTGGGTACCCACAGTGACCCCCTGAGCCAACCTCATCCTGGGATCAGATGGTTAAGCCTCCAAAACTGGCAGCCCCCCTTCAGCAAGCTCCCAGATACAGGTGCTTGGTGCAGCAGCAGACCTCTTGGTTGAGGTGTTGCAGGAGCTCTTCAAGGTCTGCCTCACACTGCAACTGCAGCTTCCTTTGCTGTGGAACCTGCTCTGATTCAAYGCGTCTTCTGATGTGGAGGATGATGATGGGGAGGCAGACAGGTGAGCAGAGATGTCCCAAAAGGTGGTGGTTACACTAAACTGCATCCTCTACTGCCAGATCAATGCCCCCTTCCTTGGAGGAGCTTAAGTCAAACTTCCTACTACTGCTTCACTGGATGGTCCTTCCTGGCAAATACCTACTTTTAGCAGAGATGTAAGTTCTTGTAAGTTCTTGTAAGTTCTTGTAAGATGTAAGTTCTTGTAAGTTATGTGTGTGGTCTTCTAATGGCAAGGGGTAAGGAGTCACCATAGAGATGGAGTCTTGACTTCAGGCTGCTTCAAGTGATGGCCTCTCTTCTGCCTCACCCAACCATGCTGTGTTGGAGATGTTTAGGTGCAGTGCAAACCTTACAGCACCTACCATGAAAATGCACAAATTCCTGGAACCTGCTCTGATTCAAGGTGTCTTTTAGCTCAGAGACTTAACATTAGGGTTTCTGTTTTTCTCCTGCATGATCAAAGACAGTAAATTTGTATTTGGGTTACCCTGGCCTCGTGGCAGGTACACAAATGCATCTTTTGAGCATCCTAAATGCTTAAGCCTTGCAGCTTGGTGCAGCCCAGCTTCCATGGAGAAGCCTGGCAGGAAAAAAATCCATTATTAAGAAGAAAATGCCACCATGGAGATGTTTATTGCTAAACGTTCCAGGCTCAGCTAACAGGATTTCTCTTGTCTGCAGATAAWGATAAGTTTGTTTAATTGCCTGGATTTTCTTCCCTTTATTTGGACTGAAAGGATACAAATTGATGCTAGGATTCTGTTTAGATAAACCAGCATCCCAGGGAAGTTGAACTTTTACTTGAGGGAATTTGAGAAAATGCTGAATATTACCACACTTTTATTTTGGCTTATTTTGATTTTGCTTGTATAGGAAGGATACTTCTGGAGTGATGGGCTCTCCATGCAACATACAGCGTTCAGATTTTCCAGTTTCTCAAAACTGTGATTTTTCCGGGTACCTTCAGTGTTGCAGATGATCCGTCTTGTATTCCCTGTGCCTTTTGTGCTGCCTGTTGTCAGAGTAGTTTTGCTCATAAGCTTTGATGGTATCGGTGCATAATCTCTGCCACAGCAGTAAGTCTTCAGTGCCACATAAACTTGCCCTGTGTGATTTCACAGGGCAGCCTCTCAATCTGTCTGTAGCTAAACTGACTGCAAAGCAGTAGCACTGCATGGTTTATAGGTAGGCACATGCAGCAGAAGTCCTCTGTGTAGGAGGTTTCCTTCAAAAACTCAATGTTTGACAACTCTGTAATGCTTTGGAGGCTTCGAATTGTAGCTGTCACTTCATAGCAGCTCGGATATAGGGATGGTGCCTGTGGAAGGGGCTATTTGCCTTGGCAGCTGTAACTCATTCCGGGCTTTGCATCCATCCAGAACAGCGGTGGCACCTGCGAGGTGAGTGTTTCCTGGTGTTTGAAGGCTCTTGGGTTTCGGAGCCTCTGCCTTTGCTCTCTAGCTTCGTTGCTGGTGATGACAGCCGGGGCCATTGTGCTGCCAGTTGTTTCTTGGCAGTGTTTAGTGGAGCTGCGTCGCCGCCTGAGCCTGGCCCAGCCTGCTGCCCACCAGCTGAGAGGCAGAACAAGAGCTCGGCGTCGTTGATGCTGCTGTCCACGCTTGGCAGCGCGAGCAGAACAACTGCGTGGTGGGCACAGCAGTGCCCCGGCACGGGTGGGAAGCAAGCAAGGGGCCAAAAACATAACGATCTGTGTGATACATCACAGAATCCGACCCAAAATCCTGACATCTGCCTGGCGATGGATGTGGACTCCTCTGCTCTCGACTCCGGGGGTATCAAGGAGCGTCTCTGCCAAGATGTCATGCAAAGCAGAGCCCTGCTTGAAGTGGCCTTTATGGTTAGATGTCGTTACGTGTTGTGATGCTGTTTTGCTAGGGTGCTGTTTTGAAATGAGGAAATGTTGGGCACAGACCTCCCTGAGCAGCCAGAGTTGTGTGGCAACTCCCTGAGTTTAACTGATGGTGCCACGTGGGCTGGGCTTTGAGATCTCCTTGGGTTTGCTTTGCTTTAAAACAAAACAGAAAAATGGTGCCTCGAGCAGGATTTCCTTGAAGCTTCTGTCCAGGAACCACATTGAGCACCTCTGATTTGTATTAATACAGTATTTTTTCCAGCACTTGAGAGCTGACTTCCTCGCATTATTGTGGCATGTGCAGGGTGCTTCCGTCAGCGTTTGCATCCTTGAGCTCCTAATGCTTTGTGACCCTCTCCCTTGCAATGCTGTGCAGCTGCGCAAGTGTTTTTGACTCGAGGGCAGCCCTAAATTTGTACATATTTGCAGGGATGCCATCTGTGCCTGCTGCCTTGCCCTGGGACATCTGCTCGGCAGCTCTAGGAGCATCTGCTGCGAGTGGTGGTGCTGCTCCTTCGGAGAGGCTGGAGGGCTTCGCTTGGCGCCGGATCAGGCATGGTGCAAATTGTAAAAGTCACTGTGATAACCTTTATTTACGCTCAAATTGGATGGATTTGAGCATAATCCGGAGAATAAGATCTCCAGAATTAAACGCACAAAAAGTCTTAGTTTTTAGAGCTCTCATTGAAGCACTTAATGAGGGTTTTGCTTAGATGGGGTTCCCTGTCTTCACTGGGGCTGTTATGTGAGGTGTAGCGAGGGCTCAAATACTTTCAGGAAGAATTGTAAAGGATCTGGAGCCGATTGTGGAATAACATTGTCCTTCTAAAGGGCGTTCCATGTTTTTAAAAACGCCCCAAAATTTTCAACATGCATAAAATTAGTCTGAGTTTAGTGCTGGTTTTTTGCTTTTTACCCTCTTGTGCTTTGGGGTTTGGATGAGAGGCTGCAGACAGGCTACGAGGAGCATTTGAAGTCTGTAATTGCATAAAAGGAGCCAGCAGTAATTTTTGTGCCCTGACAAATACAAAAAATGCTGCAAGTGGAAGAATTTTTTTACATGATTACAAGGTCATGTAGTCATTTGTATGTGCCACTGTGTACACGGGGGGCCTGCTGCAGACACGTGTGGGGAGAGGTTCCTCTGTCTCAACGTGCGCTGCTTTGGGTTACCTTTATGGGGAGGGAAAAAGCATCCTTGAGATATAACAGCTGGAACAAGAGGCCACCGTTTGGTGTCAATAAGTTGACAAAAGGGGCTACCACTGCAAATCTTTCATGGGAAAGGTCATAAGGAGAGCGCAGCGGGCCAGATGGAGCACTGAGTTGCCATGCGCCTGTCCTAGGCCTGTCCTAGGCCTGTCCTAGGCCTGTCCTAGGCCTGTCCTAGGCCTCTCCTAGTCAGATTTAATGCAGATGTGATGCAGAAGCACAACTGGTTGCAATATTCAGTGCTCTCCCTGTGGCTTTTCCTGTGGATCTTTTGGTGGCTTGGGGAGTTCATACCTGCCTATCGAGGCAGTGCCACTGTTGAAGACTAGCTCTATTTTATCTATTTTCCTGAGATACTGCAGTCCTTTGGGGCATCCCAACTCTTTCTGATCTTGCATCATCTCCCTCCTAAAATATCAGCAGGAGGTAACAAGAGAAACAAGGATTGGTGAGGACAGCTCCTTTCCCTTCCTCTTGTATGGTGGTTCCTGGCGTTTTCTCCTTGCTTACCTGTCAGCTTACAGTAAACAAAAATTTATTTAGAAATGTTTCAAATGAAAGACGAGATGTATAAAAAAAAAATCTACTTTTCTGTGATTTTAGTGATTTCTGTAAAATCAATGAAAGATGTAAAATAAATGACAGTGGTTTTGCAACCTCCTGTATTTAAGTGCTTCAGGTAGGCTGGGCTAATTGGCTAATCCTGCTGGTTTCCAGGATTTGGCTTCTGTTGATCAGAAAGTAACTGCTGCTGATTTGCACTGGGTGACGGATAGTGAGGAAAATGCAGCGTTTCTCTGCTGTCACCCTCTGTTCCTGTGACACACGAGGCAAAATGAAGCATTTCACTCAGGTGTGTGGCTCTTGGCAGCACAAGAGGTATCTAAGCATCAAAATGCTAGCACTATTACAGTAAATTTTCACTAGTTGCTTCTGCATTACAGAAATCTGTCAGGAAGCAAGCTCGCCACGTAGGCAGCAAGCTGTGTTAGTCCTGAAGTACCTATTGACAGGGAAGCTTGTGCGCTGGGAAACTCTTGTTTGCAGCGTTGCTGGAGTAGCATAATGTAAATGTGATGAAGCCAAACATCTGCCTGGCCTTTGCAGGGCTTGGATATGGTCTCTTCCCTAAAAACCGCTGTGCAGGAAGCGATTAGTTGTGTGGCTGCAAAGCAGTACTGCGGGAAGCAAGGTGCTCCTCTTGCACTCCTGCCCTTAAGCTTCTGCCATCAGCAATGTAAATATGGATTTATACACAGAGCCTGTGAGACCCTGGCATGTTAGGTAGCTTTTTTTGAGGTTTCTGCCTTGATGCTGCTTGGCTTCAGGAGCCCAAGTCCTTTAATGACGTCTTGTTCTTTGACAGCAGATGGCAATTACGAAACGCTGACGTTTGCAGGTATGGCTTCGCTGACAGCGCTTGGTCTGCTGCCTCCCTGCCTTGCAAAATGCCACCAGCAGCAGCATCTGTATATTGACTGTGCTCCTACCAAGTAGCAAAATAAAACTTAAAAAAATCCAGATTTAAGGGTGTAATTTGGGCATTTTAAGGGGATGGGGGAGAGTAGTTACTCCAGATTAACTCCCTCCCTTTTGGAGAACTTCTATCCCTGTACTCTCATTGCCTTTGCAGGTGCCAAGCAACCTAGACCTTTGCAATTCCAGCAAAAAAAAAAAAAAAAAAAATCCTGTTTCTGCTCTGTTCTGCGTATATTTTTGCCTTGTGAGCCCCAGCCGTGCCTTCTGTGCAGTTCAGGTTTGTCCTCACCTGCCCCTGACTTGTTTTCACAGGGCACTTGAGTCCTTGACTCAGTTGGCAGAATGGAGGAGGGTTTGGGTCTCTCTTGACCAAGCTTCATTCTTTTGGTGGGCTCCTTCCCAATCACTCGTCAACTGTTACACTTTGGAAATGGATTTCATTCCCTGTCTACCCTATTTTCTTTGATTAGCAGCTGTTTTTCCTGTTGCCATCCTCTGGGAAAAGAGCATGAGGCTGATGTATGAACATAGGAGCATCCTGCAAATTAACCAAACCTTTAAAAGTAGACTTGCAAAAAATAAATGACTTTAAAGATGATTTGGGGCTTTCTTACCTTTGTGGCTTTGTTAATTGGTGGTGTTATGTATAGGCCTTTATTTTTGTATGTATTTTATACCAACTGTTTGGGAAATAGAATGAGGATCATTTCTTTGGTTTCAGTCTGTTCTGCGGATGAAAAGAGGACATCAATTTTCAGGACTGTTGAATGGTATTTTGAGCATGATCTGTTTTTCACATAAGTGGTGTTGCTATTTTTATAATGTGCTAAATGTATAATACTTGCTTGTCTCTGTATCTCTCCAGAAGAGAGCTAGTAGATGATATAGACAATGCTATGTAACTACTATAGATTGTGACCTTTTATGAAGTGTTTGCTTAGAAGTCATAGGAATTTTGGAAACGATGAAATATTGAAGCGACAGCATTGAATAGGCCAATGAATGGAATTCTTTCTTTTTTTAAAATACAGCTATTTTGAACTGGAGAGCAGTGGCTTACGGGATGAGATCAGATACCACTACAGGTTCAATGGGAAGACGAGGACGGAGGTGTTTCCCTATCGCCTGGCAGATGGGCAGTGGCACAAGCTCGCTGTGTCGCTCAGTGCCTCCCACCTCCTGCTCCACGTGGACTGCAACAGGTAGGAAAACACACGCAGCATTTTACATTTAKTATAAAAACGCTCTTAATTTAGGGCACGAGAGCAAGTGCAGCATCAGAGAAGAATTTTTGAGAACTAAGGAGTCGCAGCAACCTGCACGGAGCAAAGCCCAAGAAAACAAAGCATTAAAATGAAACGATACGTTGTGATTATGAGCAAACGTGGAAGAGGTTGATGGCTGCCTGGGGAGTATTAAATGCATCTAGGTGCAGTTTAGGAAGCGGCTCGTGTTGKGTTTGGCTGTGATTGCATTTAAGTGTGATAGATCGGTGTGCAGCCCGTGCTGCTATGAACTGCTTCACTCGGCATGCCTGGAAACTTAAAAGAACAGATAGATACGTCAGAAGCCTTTTTGTTTTATTTCACGTAATCAAGTAACGTGCTTCTTGGTGATTTTSCATCCACCACCCTGCTTGGAAACTTCTCTGAAACCTGGAAGCTTCTTTGGGAGTGCTCGGAATAGGTGCCATTTATTTTCTGTAGGGTTTTCTGTCTGTTATTGCACTTTTTTTTTTTCCTTTTTTTTTTTTTTTTTTAAACTCATGAAGACTGCAAGGTAGCAGATTGTCAGGATTTGAAGGAATAAAAGAAAAGCAAGCTACCATCCTGGGATCTCTCTTCCCTTGGGACTTGATTTCACAGTATATTGCAGACGCTTGGAGGCAACTTCRCTCACATTTGAGACGTTCAGCATAGTCTTTGAGTGATGAAAGCGAACCTTTAGTTTTTATTCTTGCACTGAAATTAATGTCAGAAATATTCTTTGCCTGCAGTAGGAGGACTAGCCCCCCTATTTGCGTTTTGAGGTTGTGGCATTTAAATAATAATAGTAGCTGTTGTTTTCTCCTGAAGTCTTCATTGAGGTAGAGCAATGGGATCRCGTTGGCTCTCAGAACTCTGCAAAAGTTTTAATTTTGACCCAAGTAATTGAGATCCTTGAATAAAGCTATGACTGTTTCTGCAGCCGCATTAACTAGTGACAGTGAAAATCAAATCTCAAGGCAGGCTGCTTATTGAATCCTATTGTTTGGACCCTAGAACCAATTAGATGCTTAAGGCAATTTTAATTTAGCTCGAGCATGTGGTCTTAATTTCCCTCCTCTGATTTATCTTGCTGCTGTTTATTGGTTACATTATTTCTTTGCTTACCACAGTGTATGTTTCTGTGTATTGATGCGGTAGGCTTTGGGAGAGGTTCCTCGTTATCCCCCATGATCACTTTTTAATGAACAGCAAATGTATTAGAGGAGGAGCTGCCTGGCAGGTTATTTTCCCTGCCTGCTGCCTTGCACGTGGTGTGAAAGGCAGGCAGTCAGAAAAGCCTTCCTGCTACAAAAGTCTGTCTAGGGACAAGCGTAGAACAGCATCGTGCTTGTGACCTGATTTTTCTTTACAGCAACAGGCAGGAATAGATAAATGCAATCACAGAATAAGCTGTGCTGTCATATGAGATAGTAAATGCATATAGCCTCCTGTGTCAGGTAGCCTTAAGCAGGAGGGRTGTATCGGAGTGTTCCCTAGGGCAGTGTATCTCAAGGCTGCTGCCAGTACAGATCCCAGAGCTAAATGCCTCCTCTTGGCTGTCTATTTGTGGTATTTCATGCCAACCCCTCTGGAAAGTAATGGGAATCCTTTGGAAAGCACATGACTCGAGGGCAGGTTGTAGTAGAGGTATCAGTGGGGGGAAAAAAAGAGGAGATCCTATGTGCCTGACTCAGCTGTGGCATCTTCATTTAATTAGATATTTTTTTGTGAGTGCTGGTGCTTTTAGTTTGCTTTAGACCTTAACCCTCTTACATCTTTGCACCCAAGGAACAGAGTGCTTTTTTCCCCCTCCCTTTGCAGGACTTTTTCCTGCTGACACTACGGTAAATATGAAAAGATGTGGGTAAGATGTGAAGGGCAAGCCAGTGAGATGTGCTTTGGAGGACCACCAAAAACCCTGATCCCTTCTGATGTCGGGAGGGCTGCAGCCAAAGCATGCACAGGATCCAGCCTTGAGAGCTGCCTCTTACCATGCACATGTCACTGTTTTAGGCTCGCACAGTGTCCCTGGCTCCTGGCAGAGCTCAGGGTGCTTAATGAGGAGTGATGCCTCTGCAGCCTTAATGGCGTGAGTGAGTCATAGGGGAAGGGAAGACCATGGCAGTGGAGAGAGCCGCCTGTCTTGCCTCTTGCAGAGCTCTGGGATGTTCTTTCTCTTTTGGTCAGTTCAGCTAAACACAGTCTATCTTTAAATACCTGTCTGGTTAATGGAGTTTTATGCTTTTTTTTTTCTGTCCTTGCTCTTGTGAAATGAAAACAAAGTAAAAAGCAAAAATATCRATCCTGAACGTGAACTCTCAGGATTCCTCCTGGATTTCCTAAAGAGGGTGGCAACGTTGCATCTGTGTAGATGCACGTGAGTTTGTATAAATGCATTAATCGTGTGCTTTGGGCTATGATAATATTATACATTTAGGCAGCTTGACTGGGTGAGTGGTTATGGATGCAGGGTTATTAATCTGCACGCGGGAGGGCAGTGAAAAATAYGCAGGCTGTGCTTGGTGTTGTCCCCGAGTTTGCTGCAGGATTTGGATGTTTAAAGCTGGCCTGGGGCCCTCAAAACCAGCAGCAGGTCAGAGAGGGCTGGAGATGAAAACTTTTAAATTGTAAACAAATTGTCCAATCTGCTTTTAGGCCTCACAGCCTTTTCATCCCCATTGCTCTGATTGGCAAAATTGCTTTGACATTTTAGCGCTTGATTGTCTTTTGGATTGGATTCAAAGTTGGCTTCTGTTTCTTTGACATGGGTAGGCTAGAGGAAGGTACTTGAGACCTGCTGAAAAGCCTTTAGTGCTTTTAAGGATCGTCTTTAAAGCAGCATAATTGCCTCTGCTCTAATAACATGTGCCTTGTTGGAGGAGGCATGTATATCAAAGGAGGTGTATTTGCCCAAGTACCTGTCCTTTCACCATCGCCTCCGACTGTGTTTTATTTGTTCTCTTCSTTGCGCCTGCAAAACGAGGAGCAAGAACTGTTATTGAGTCTGATATCGGAGCTGCGGACACAGGAACATAAATTAGAGTCCGGATTAAGGCTGTCAGCCGCCCCTGCACTCTTTGCACTGCCTCTTGCAGCCTTTGTGTTGGGCTGAGCAGGTAAGGGGGAGCCGGGAAGGCAGCGCAGACAAATGACTGAGCAGCAGCAGATGTCCTTGCTAACGTGCTTTTAGCATCCAGTATGGTTTGGGAAGCTAAAGGGAAGGAAAAACCTATATTCACTGTAAGTGTGCATCCGAGGCACATATAAAYGTATGCTGGAAGTAGCTTGGAAATGAGCTGCCTCTGCACACTTATTTCCACGCACTTTCAAGGCTGTGATGCACAAACTGTGCTGGAAAATAGGTGATCTGCAGATTCCATCCTTCCCTGCTCTGAGGGAGTGGGGGGTCCCAATTTAAGGGGGCATTTAGGTTAATCTAGAGCTGCCATATGGCCAGCAGGTCCTTAAATAGCCTGTGGCTCTACAGGGTTGATTATAGCATGAAAGGAACTCCTCTGTGCACCTTCCCACATCCCGGTCTTGGAGGAGCAGAGGGAAAAGGTCCTGCTGTGTGATGCTCCACTGGGAGGTTTTCCAGCCCTGGGCAATTGCCAGGGCCTGCGAGATCTGGTGCTGCCTTTCCTTTATTTGAAGTGACTCTCAGCTGTTAAGGAGCCTGTGGTGCTGCCCATGTTACCTGGCTGCCCATTGCACCCGTTGGGAGCTCAGTAACAGCAGGCAGGGATATTGCACTTGAGAGAATGGTAAGGGTTGTAAGGGGAGCCTAGGAGCTGTATTAAGATGTAGCTGTTAATAATTSATTTAAGCCCTATTAATTCCAAGTTGTTTGGCGTGCCTCGTGCATCTAGAGAGGGAACCCAGCCACGTCCACCTTTATTTTGCTGTTTTATTCCTCCTCACCCGCACTGCTTTAAAAGTCCCCCTCTACCCAACCCATATCATGTTCGTCAGCTTGATGAACTCCATCTGCAGGCATAAAAGAGAAGACAATTTTCAAAAACTAATGCTTTCAAGTGCAAGTAAATGCTGGAGTGCCTTTTATTGTGAATGCAGCCTGTGGTTTTGACTTAGCCTGGGCTTTTTTCCTCCCTCCCTTTTGGTTAGGAGCGTGGAGAGAGGAGCTTATAAAACTGGAGCGGACTAGGAAGCAGTCTGCACCTGAAAAGCGTGTGGTTTGCTGCTTTTGTGCTTCTCCTGATAGAGCAGAGCACGAAGGAATGAAAAATGCATAAGCATTGAGAGCTTCTTAATTGAAAAAAATAAATAAGTTAAAGCAACGTAATCCAGATCCGGGCGTTGCAAGCCTCTGAGTTTTTGTTGCAGTCCTAAGTTTTTCAGCCAAAGTTCTTATAAATCCTATGGCTTTAAAATAGAATTAAGTTTTAGGAAAGGCTAGGACATCTGTTTGAACAGATTCCCCGCTTTACCTCCTGTAAAACTTCACAGGTGTGTGGYGGGGTTGGCACAGAGCGAGGTGATTCACTGTCAACGTGTATCTGGCTTGGATTTCTTGTCCTTTCACCTGTGATGAGCTGCTTGAGAGTGATGGTTATGTGGCAGASCCCCATATACTGAATGCATCATCAGTATGCAGTATGAATGCATACTGAGATGCGTTCAGTAGGACTCGTACCTTGAGGAAAGGTTTATTTTATTTTAAATAACTTTTTAATAGGGTTTCTTTTACAGCTGTWTAGTAAGGGATGCTATGGGTCTTGCCCAACCCTGTAATGATGCTATAGGGGTGCCACAAKACTGGTTGAACCCTCTTAGCCCAGCTCCTGTTTAGGAAGCCTCCTTTTTTTAATCCTAGATGAATCAGCTGAACTTTTTTCATTTTATATGCTGCATTAAGAGGGAATGGAAAGGGCCATGAGTGTCTGTGGAAGCGCTGAGGTGATTTAAAAAGTGCTAAAGGAGGGAAATTGCAAAAA